AGTATCTTGTCAGTCCTGCCTGTGCCTGCTGTTGTATGCAGGAAGCCTGCCTCTCTGAAACACTCAGCTAGGGTCCTTCCATTCCTCCTCACCCTACCCCAGAGCTCTCCCGAGGCTGCCTCACTGTCCAGGGATGAAGGGTCCTGAGCCCTCCTGCTAGTGACGTCTTAGATTCAGAGGCGTGTGGTGAATGTCATCTGTCACAGGAGCAATGTGTGTGACTGTGTACAGGTGCATCAGCATCACACCTCCTAGGGCTAGGGAGGTCACGAAGCTGCCTCGGAGGTTTGCTGGAAGTTGGGTGTTAATGTTAAACGCTGTGAAATTTCTCTTTTGGAGACAGAAAATGCCCCGAAACCAAAAATATCAGTGCTTCAAATGGAAAGTAAAACAATCTAAGTACTTGCACCCTCCCCCAACTTTGCCTGGAAATAAAGCCTTCCCAACGGAGAGAATGCCCGGGGCGGGGGGGGGGGGGGGGGGGCGGCGGCGGGATGCAGTCGGAGGTCAATTGGCAAAGGCTCCCGCGGCAAGGTTGCGCCTCCAGGACAGTGTGGCTGCAGCTGCAGTGTCGCTCCTGGGCCAGAGGGGGTCTCCCTCGATCTGTGATCCTCTGACAGCCCGTTTAACAAGCCACCAGAGAGCCAGGACCACAAGCTCCAACTCCTACTGAGACCTCGCCTAGCTAGTCGGTATCTTCTACCACCCAGCCTCCGTCTCTGTGCCTCTCTGGAGCTGGTCAGGTTCAGACATTGGCTACACAAATAGCCAGGCCGGTAACTGATGGCAGAGTTTCAGGCATCATGGAGAGGGCAGGAGCCGAGCCCGGACTTGAGCACTGTCCAAGAACTGGTAACCACATGTCTGGCCTGGCTACCGACACATTGCTCCGGGCTGCTGCCTTGCCCAGGTGGTGGGAAAGAAGCTGTCCATGCTGGACACTGGACACGTAGGGTGTACATAGGGTGCAGCCTGGGAATGGACAGCAGTAGTGCAGAAACCTGGGTCTCAGCAGGACCAGGGAATCTGCGAAGGAGCCACAGGGTCCAGACGACACAGACAGCAGATGTACAAACCGTTCATGCCCTTTGACCTGGGCATTGCGGTTTAGAATTGGTGGAAGCAGAACTAGCAAGGTGGCTTAGTGGGTAAAGATGCTCAGACTTGTCACTAAGCCTGATCATCTGAGTTTGAGCCCCAAAACCCACATGGTGAAAGGCGAGAGCTGACTCCTCTGGTTGCCCTCTGACCTCCACACACCCACCACACAAACAAATCATGTAGAACTGTTGGAAGGGAGTTATTGGATGTGTGTGCAGAAGCCTTTGAGACAGTAACTTGGCGTGATGGAGCTATGACTGTCCTCTACAAGCACAGGGGATAGTCCTACTTCGTCTGGGAGGTGGCTGCCTTGATAGAGGAGACACAGAGGCTCTGAAGTGGCAGAGTTTGAAGTTAGTTGTTTCCATGTCTTCGCTCCCGGCCAACTATCTTCATTGCCTCCCTGGACAGCAAGCCCAATGCAGTACAGTTCGGCATGTGAACAAGCATCATGTCACACACACACACACACACACACACACACACACACACACACACACACACACACACACACACACACACACGCACACACGCACGCGCTCGCTTGAGCGCCTCTCCTATGCAGCAGCCTGAAGTCTGACCCCTACCCCCTGAAGTCTGACCCCTCCCCCTGAAGTCTGACCCCTCCCCCTGAAGTCTGACCCCTCCCCCTGAAGTCTGACCCTCCCCCTGAAGTCTGACTCCTCCCCCTGAAGTCTGACTCCTCCCCCTGAAGTCTGATCCCTCCCCCTGAAGTCTGACCCCTCCCCTTGAAGTCTGACCCCTCTCCCTGAAGTCTGACCCCTCCCCTTGAAGTCTGACCCCTCCCCCTGAAGT